TCATTAACAGTCCCAGTTATTAAATGGAACCTATATCATAGGGCCATTGTGAGAGACAAGGAAATAATGTATGTCAAGCATTTTCCATAAAGCCAGACATACAAGAAGCATGTAATAAATATTGGCCATTATTGTTATCTCTAGGTAAAGATAATGGGTAATTCTGGAGATTCAAAGAGAAAGGTTCCCAGTAACAAGTCAAAAATTTTACTTTTTTTTTTTTGTGGGCCCACTCCCTGCTTTAAAGCAGCTTTAACGTTTACCACATTTGACTCTTCAAAGGTTGAGGTAAAGAGACATTCTGAGGAATGTATAGGAAAGTTATTTCTTTTCATTCTTTTTTCCCTGAGTATATTTAATATTTTTAAATGGTCATTTGCTAAGTTTTTGTAGTGGTTAGTCTACAAAAAGCTATGGAATCAGTATTTGTGGCCCAGGAACTTAAGAAGGTTATCATGATCATTTTATTCAGTGTTTAAAGGTTATAAAGCCAGAAAATGCAATTTTATTGCAATTTTCCCCTCAGAATGTTTAATGTTTACACTCAAAATATAAATAAAATATTGTCACTTAAAAAAACCCACAAATCATTAGTTTTAAACACTACAGTTCTACAGTAAGAAAGTTTGATAACCATCAAATGAAAACAGATTAGGAATGGAAAAGAAACACCATTCATTATAGTAACACTATTTGCAGCACTTTAGTAAAAGGGCCCATCAACATTTCCATTATAAACTCCATTTTTGCAAGGGTAACAACATTGCTGGTACAGATTCATTAGCCCTATACTTACATACAAAACGTCAGCCTGGAACACATGCATGTTTCTAACTAATAAGCTTTAGTGTCCCCAAAGAAGTAATTGTTACAAACTTTAGGTGCTAGAAATTTAAAAATTCCTCCTCTGCAACAATTACAAAAGAAAAACAAAAACAAAACCCACAAAACAGTCAGAACTGATGGACAGAAGTTCTCTAGTATTTGCATGAGGATATTATAGATCCTAAGACAGGATGGCAGAAGATACTCACGTGCCCTCTCTCTCACACACAGTATTGTTATTTAATATTCAAACTACCACTGATTTAGGATTACTCAATTTCAGAAGGGACCAGTCATATAAATCTCCACAGCTGAGCTGACTCTGACACAGATGCCTCTCCCCTAAATGAATGCTGGGATCTTTCCAGCCCTTCCCCTGTCATTGCCATTCTCATCCCTGGAACCTCCCCAGGGACCCACTTGCTGCAGGACCCACTGAGGCTCTCTCTTACAATCCTTTGCTACTTTCTTGCTAGAGTCTTCTCCCAACATGCCAGGAGAAATGCCCAGAAGTCTAGGCCACCATCCAGTCCCTACTATCCTCTCTCAAGATGCAAGAGCTTCAGTGTTAAAGGGATGGGTGCTTAAAATCTAGAGCTGCTCAAACCCTGGGAACCTAGGACTCAGGTCTAATGTAACTATTAGTATTATTTTAGTTACATTTTAAATTAATAGATTTTTGTGGGTTTGTCTGGCCTGTGGATGCTTATAACAGTGCTTCTTTTGGAAAATGCATTCTTCAATTCCACAAATCAACTTCTAAATAAACTTCACACCCATTTAAAATTGAGTACAATTCCTTAATACAAAATAGAGAATTACCATATGACCCAGTAATTCCAATTCTAGGTATATAACCCCCAAAGCTGAAAACAGGGATTCAAAGAGATGCTTTTAGACCATGTTCATAGTAGCCAGAAGGTGTAAACAACCCAAGTGTCCATCAATGGATGAATGACTCCACAAAATGTGGCATATACATACAATGAAATATTACTTAACCACAACAAGGAATAAAGTAGTGGTACATTACAATATGGTTGAACCTTGAGAATATTATAATAAGTGAAAGAAGCCAGATACAAAAGGATAACTATTGTTTGATTTCACTTATATGAAATATCTAGAATAAAACAATTTCAGAGAGACAGAAAGTAGATTAGCGAGTCCTAGGGGACCATGAGAGGAGAAAATGAGGAATTAATGAGTACAGAGTTTCTGTTTAGGGTGATGAAAAGCTCTGGAAATAGTGGTGGTGATTGTACAATACTGTGAATGTAGTAAATGCTACTGAATTCTACATTTTAAAATGGTTAATTTTATACATGAATTTCAAATCAATACAATTAAAAATTGTATATAGTCAGTACCTACAAGTATAAAAAAATTGAAATAGCTGATAAAGTATGCTTTTGCTATAAAAAAAGACGTAGTGTGGGCTTCCCTGGTGGCGCAGTGGTTGAGAGTCCGCCTGCCGATGCAGGGGACACGGGTTCGTGCCCCGGTCCGGGAAGATCCCACATGCCGCGGAGCGGTTGGGCCCGTGAGCCATGGCCGTTGAGCCTGCGCGTCCGGAGCCTGTACTCCGCAACGGGAGAGGCCACAGTGAGAGGCCCGCGTACGGCAAAAAAAAAAAAAAAAAAAGACGTGGTGGGAAAAGAGAACTGTCTCAAGAGATAGAAAACCTAAAAACTTGGGTACAAGCCCTAACTCAGCCGTTAGTAATTAGGCCATCTTATATGAGCCATTTTCCCAATCTGAGGCTCAGTTTTATCATGTAAAGAATATGATACTATCTGCTCTGCTTAATTCTAAGGCTGAGATTCAGATTCAGATTTTGTGTACTTCAGAAAGTACACAAAAACTCTAAGATACCAGAGAAAAGGTACTAGCTTCTATAATAAATGAAAAGTTGGAAGTATGGGAACCCCAAAAAGGAAAAGGATGAATAAATATATGCTTTTCCTTTCTAACACCTTATCTTTTACTTCAGTTGTTACCCAGGCTTTAGGCAAATCTTGGGAGACCATTATTTGAGCTGGAGGAGGTTCAATACAATCCAGGGGGATTCTCGGCATTTATCAAGTTGGGGAACCAAGTCTAGCAGATCCAGTCTAGACTAGATTCTGTCCTGTGTAGTATGGAATATAAAGCCCTGAAGAGATTCTAGAATCAATCTGTAGTCCGTGACTGTCTTTCAGATGATAAATGATCTCTAGTTGGGGCCACTATAAAGCTTCACTGGTAATATGTAGTATGGGGAGGAGAACTTGAGTCTATTTTGGTTAGAACCCTCAATAAATCAGGCCCCAAGTGTGAAAGAAGGAAAGGAAACAGAATTTCTAGCTTTTTCTCTTGTGACACAAGGCTCTTTTATAGTAATATCTAATTTATCCAACACAGAGAGGAAAGGTGCTCTACTTGAAAGAATTAAAAAAAAAAAAAAGTCTCCTTAAAATATATAAAGGAAATAATTTAAAAATGTATTACAGAAATTTCACTACCTAGTATTTACATTTTTAATATAGTTAACATAATATTTTCAAAACCCTTCAGAGACCAAAGGAAAAATGCAAGTGTGAAGCCATGTGTTGGTTTATGGCATATCCACACAAAAGTCTATGTACATGAATGAGCATACGTGTAACTTGTTAGGGCAATGATAAACATGTTCTAGGTAATCTGGCATAGCAGGTATAATAGGGTATGGTATAATAGGGTTCTGGTGACTTGCATGCTAGCTGAAGGTCAGCCACTTACTGATCTGTGTGGCGCTGAGCTTTTCCTGTGCCTCTGTCTCCTCTGTATAACGAGAAGTTTAGGTAATAGTTTTCAAAAAATAAAAAAAAACCTTTTTTTGTTTCGTTTTAAATTTTAACCAGTAGAACCTTTTCTTTAAATGAACTCATCCAAGAAGCCTGCTATTTCATATAAATAAACTCAGAGCTACTCTGTTTGAAGTAAGGTAAGAAACCCAGACGTCTATCTGCTTGCTCCCTTATTGTCCTACCAGCCCCAAGGTGTCTGTGAAGAAGCCCTAAAGTCTCCACAGAACACAGCTTGAAACCAATCCGGCCAGATAAAGCCAAAGGTCTCTTCACATTCTAGTATGTTCTGATTTCACTAATGTAGGCAATTTTCAAATGTCCCATATAAATGCTTATTTCTGGAGGAGTTCTTTAATTATAAATACATCTTTGGCAAATAGAGAAGAAAAAGTTCAAGAAAGCTTTCCAATCCTAATCTACTACTAATTTACTAATCTACTTTACTAATCTACTTTAACACTGCCATAAAATTAAAGCAATTAATTAGATTAAAGGAATAGATTTTCCACTTACATTTTGACATTTTTTTACTTAATATAGTGTACTTTTAATTTGGCATGGATGATTTGAATTTATTTCCCATTTTTACCCCTTTTGTAGGAGCAGGATTTTAAAGAAACATATATGTATAGACATATATTTTAAAGAAATATATTTCTTTAAAATATACACACATACAGTTTTTTTTTTTTTTTTCCAATAGCTTACTGTACACTTAGATCTATTCAATCACTATTGGCAGTCAGCATTAAATGCCAATCTACCCTCTGGTTAGGAGCTAACTTGCTGCTTTAAACCATTTTTACAAACCTTCCTATATACCTTAATCCTTTCAAATGCAACTGTGACACAAAGTATTACAGACTTTTAAAAACCAGTTCTCTTGAAAAAAAATTGTGGAGCATCAGTAACCAGATAGTATTCTCAAATTTCAGTGATCTAGTCCGTGGAGATGTCCCCTATGCATAGTGCTCTGTTTCATGCAGTACATGGCTTTAGCTGGCCAAATCTTTTTTTTTTCCCAATGAATCAGTAGAACAGTGAAGATCTTACTTTTTTTTTAAGCAGTGGCATATCAATGAGGCACAGATGTGTATTCCAACCCTGCATGGATGAGCACACTGTTCAATAGTGCTGGCTCACACGGTATCAGGGCGAGTTATCACTTCCCATGAAGGCACTCTTATCACCAGGGCCCAGAGAGGTGGCTGCAAATCGCAGCCTTTTTATTTTCAAGGCAGTTCTGCTGAACATTCAGGCTTCAAAGATTCACACTTCCAAAACTCTATAAGAGTTTGTGAACGCTCAATTTGCCAAAACTGTTTACAGTGTAATTGGGCACCGTACCTGTGTCCATGAGATAGCGAAGGCGCTTCTCCACCAGCGCGGCACGGGTGTCAATTTGCTTTTGCTCATTCTCTAGTGCTGCCAATTCTCCTACAACATACTGACTGGTGTCTTTGAACCCTTTCTGTTAACGAGAACAAACAGGAAAGAAAAAAAAATCACTTGTAAGTTGCATTTTTCCTTTCTACAAACACTTAGTAAAGCACTTACCTAGAGAACCAAATACGCCCTTAGTATCACTCTTAGTAACTAAAAGCAACGCCCTGTGATTCAAAAAATTTTCATATGTATTACATATATTGCAAAACTTTTGTAAACAGAGAAAATCTTGGCTGTTTAGTATTATATTTATAATTTAACACCCAGATTTGCCAGATTTAAAAAGTTAACACTAAGTAAGAAAAAAATTCTCCTTAGAGTTGAGTCAGAGTGATTAAGCATGGACAAGGATAGAAGATAATTTTCCCTTGGTGACTGTCAAAACAAACACCAATGACATCTTTAATTCAAAAGTGTAATATATAAAAATGGAATTTAACTAAGCAATTGCTTCTTAAAGAATCTATCCTGAAAAAAATCAGATTTGTTCTTACAAAAATATAAAATTAAAAAGATACATTTCTTCTTTTCATAGTAACTATACTATTTAAAGTATTTTTAAAAAATGATAAAAGAGAAGTTTCTAATATCTCCAGTTTCCCCTCCAGCTGGCTTCTGTACTTTAACATGTCATTCTGTTGATGTATTACTAATTATTGTAGCTGCGAATTCTAACTTGACAGGTGGTTTCAAACCTTGCTACACTGGATCTAATGTCACCAGTACACTGATTTGGTTAATCTTCCATTTAACCAAATTTGGATTTCAACCTGAAATTTTACTTTTTACAACCAAGCATGTTAAAAAAAATTATCCTTAGAAGTTTTATTTGAAGTAGCAGTTCTATTATAAAGTACCAATATAAGCTTACTTTTTATTTTCCTATTACAAATTGAAATCGTTAGGGGGCAGGGTTATTCATGGTATAGTACCAAACTGATTAATTATAGCTTCCTTTGGAATGCTTGTTTGTCTTGTGGCATTTCTAGGGGTTAGTTTCCTAAGTAGCTGAGAAATACTAAAGAACTGCTTAAGTGATTACTCTCACCACTACCACTACTAATATCAACACTTAAAATATTTATTCAGAGAAATAAATGTGAACAACGTTCTTGTGTCAAATCCCTTCCCTACCTAGAAGCATATTAATCTCTAAGAAGCCATGAGGAATTATCTTTCGTTACTCCTTAAACAAGAAACAAAATCAAGAATTACGTTATTTACGAGGATATTTTGGAATTCTCATAATGAACAAACCTGTCTAACCATATGTATAACTTATTTATCTTTGGAACCAGTAAACTGTACTCACACATGAACTCAATTTAAACCAGCTTATTGTTAAACTGACTATGGTAGTTGACAAACTTAAGCTGAAATATTTTAAAAAATCATGAAACTGATAATGTCTCAGGATAGACTGATCAAATAAGTTACTGTATTTTTAAAAGATTCATACAAAGCGGATATTCTTCCATCTCACTATGAAATAAAACAGAAAAACTATAACAACAGAATAAATGCTAATGGTAGGTTTAAAATCTGGAATCTGGTGAATGCTTTTTGTATCTACCTGTCAGACAGCAGAGCATTTTCAAAAAGGACTATTCCCATTTCCATCCAGAGGGACAAAACAAACATAGTAAAAGTAACAAAGATATAAGAAAACAGAAGTGATAAGCAACACGTAAACTTCATTGCTTGTACTGATTGGTTCAGTTAAAAATAGTAACAAAGTTTATAGTCAGATTTCTTTAGTGTGAGTATATAGTATACTCAAATATTCTGTATGTTATAAATTATACCAAATATTTCATCAGGATATACCACTTAGCTCTTCTATGTATTAAGACGTGCCAGGTTTTAGTAAAACAACTTTAAAACAAGAACTTAAAAATGAGAAGTTTTTACAGCTCTAAAATGTAGTTTGTAACTCTGACTACATTTGCAAGGATTTTAAAATCCATAATAGACAATTTTAAGAGTAAAAACAAAGAAAATATTTACACAAACTGGAGATAATAATAATAAAAAAAAGTAGCACCATTAAAGAGAGCAATGCTTCCAGACAAAAATTCAAGTTAAAACTTGTTCTTCCTGCTTCTGTCCCGCAGCTGTCCATCAAAAGCAGCTTTCTCCCTGCGGTCTATCAAATATTTCCCTCACAAATCAATTTTACACATGATCAGCCCATACCCCTACTGAGCTGAACCTCCCCGTTAATTAAGTGAAGAAATTACCATATATATTATATTAATGCAAACATCATTCAGCTAGTAATTCACGGCTGATCTGGATAATGGAAAGGTTGAACACCCATTAACCCAAGCCAACAAAATGGGTTGGCTGAGAAATTCTAGCAGGTCTCATGTGACTTTTCCCTCTAACTGCAGCTCTGCGGTATCTGCTATTGTAATAATTAAAATCCTCCCAGTAGATCAATACTGGAATCTCTTTATGGGAAGTGCCCTGATGGAAATGTCTCAAGGAAGCTGGGGCTGTGGAACTCTGAAAAATTCATTTTTTTTATCTGACAATTATCACCACACTGCAGACTAATTCAACAGTGCACCCCTCTCACTCTGCTTTGAATGCACTGGAGATTGACATCTTAAAAAACCTAACATCTCATTTTAACAAATAAAGGCACTATTTCCACATACAGTTTGGAATTATCAGCAATCATGAAACCACACAAAAAATTAATATACATTAAGCACTTCATCTTCTGATGGCTTCCTCTGAGTTTCAGTTATTGCTGCCTTCTCCTCATTTCCTTTCTTTGTATCTTCCTGTATTGATCTCTGCCTTTTCATCTCTTAAAAAAAAAGGGAAAGACATGTAAAATTATTATAAAGCTTGATATTTGTGTATTGAAATGTGTATTTACATTATCAGCTTCCATATATATATATATATATATATATATAAATATTGTTAAATCATAAGATGGGAAAACATTTAAAAAAGTGTTCCTACCTGGTCTATTCTCAACATATTGACTGAAAGACTGAAGTTGAGTTTTTCTTACTGTAGAATCCTTGCTAAACACAACAGGATTTCTAAATCGTTCTGTTGCTTTTTGTAATCGCTCAGTCCGGAGATCTTCTGTGCCATTCTAAAAGTGAAACAAATGTGGTAAGAGAGTCCTGATCTTATAAATGTGAAATTACACATTAGTAAAACAAATTTTACTGATTTAAGATAATGCCAACTTAGAAACGTTTTGAAAGAAAAAAGGACTATAAAGAGATGTTCTAAATAGCTCAACGGCAAGGTCTGTTGCCTGTAACTGAAACCTTTGGGAGACATGGTTTAAATGGAGGATCATTCTTGATAACTGTGATTCATTAGATACTGCGAACCCCCATGTCTTCTTCTGATATGTATCATTTAAAAGCCACATTGCCTCTGTCTACCACCGCCCCACCACCCCAGCCCCACTATTCTGCCCCATCTGTTTGTACAGTCCCACAGACTTGTATGACAAGAAGAACTAGTTTCTAATTTTATGCCCATTGAGATAAACCACCAATGCTGGATGAAGGCTAAAAGGTAGGATTATAACACTACCCCACTGAACTGCATTTCATCAGCTATAACTTTCCAAAGCCAGATTTGTAAGTAAGCCCTTTACAGCTAAGGAAACTACAATTATCTTTTCCAGAGCTTCCTATGTTAATACTGGTAACAAATTCAAATGGTTCTATCAACAAGAAATATCCCAGAAGACTGAACCACTGCAGTGTGTGGAAGACGCAGATACCGTGGTGCTGTGTACCAAACAAATATTTCATTTTATACCTAATCTTTATTATTTTTATTAAGTGTTTTGAAAGTAAATAGGGAAAGGCTAAGATGCATGACTAATAGCTAAGCCTGCTGAATGCTGAAACTGGTTATCAAAAGCTACCAAGACTTTGCCCTTCCTCTGCATTGAGACAATCAGTAATGAGGGAGTCCTCCAATGGCCTATTCTCTAGCCTCAAGGAGGCCTGGGATACAGAATCCTCAAGGGAAGGTAACAGTTTATCCTTTTCCACAAACACAGAATGCCTCATTTATAAACGTGTAAACTGCATTTTATTAAAAAAATAAAACCCTAAATCAATGCTGAAAGCTTCAAGAGAACAGATGGACTCTATATGTTCTTTATAAGCACCATTTAAAAAATCTGAACTAAAAAGATCCATACAAAGACAAGCTGTTTAAAGCACACATTTTGTTGGAATAAGTTTGAAAATAACTACATTTAAGAGCTTTTTGGAAAGCAAAAACAACTGCATCTATTTAGATAATTAAACCTTGAGAACGAAAATACCTCTGTCTTATTTTTTAAGTTATATATTTATTATTAGTATCACACTATTAATATGCTAGCTATGTAGCTAGGATAGAAACAATTATGGCTTTTATTTATCTGTTTGTTTGTTTAAGAAAAGTGTGTATTCTACTGTTATCATAATAACTGCCCAATAGTCTAAAACTCAAGTCTTTACCAAAATAAACAAACACGGCTAAATTTTTTGAGGCCTGGCAACATGCTAAAATATCAGTGCGATTAGCCAGCAAATCCCATCTTAAGAAACCTTTTTATGACTAGGGACTTCTGCCACTTTACAAATGTATTCCTCTAAACCCACTAATTCAGTTAGCCTTTTCAATCCATTGTATTATTCTTAGTCCAGCTTCATTCTGCATTAAATCCAGTGCAGAAAGCTAAATTGAACGCAAAAAATCAGACCTGATCCAGGCTTCCTTTTGTTCAAAGACAGTGACCAAAAGTCCTCTGGTGCTGCCACACACTTTCATCACCAATTTATAGAAACCGACAGTATAAGGGAAAAGCAATGAAAGTCATTGTTTTGGGACTTCAAAGCATCTCTGTGTCAGGGGAAGGAAATCCTTTCAGTCAGCAGGGCAGTCCCCATAGTCCGCAGGTGGGTGAAAAAGTTATACAAGACTAGAAATGCCCTAAAACTAGAGAAATATTAACGATACAGTGCAAGGAAAAGGGGGGATGGCTTGAGTGGGGATAATATAAATACTACAAATCATCATCATTATCATCATCATCTTATAATGTTGCATTTTGGCTAAAATCTTACACAAGGTAAGATTTATATTGGCACAAAGCACATGCAAGTATCTTAAAAATTTATATTCAATCACATACCATCTTCAGGAATTAATTTATCTTAACAGGTCAAAGGCTGAAGATGATAGAATGTGCTAGAATTCTCTTAGCAATATTCTCGTTAGCAAAATACAAATGCATACAGAAGTCAAGAATAGTTTTTACTTTTACTGACATATCAACTTAAAGTAGTAGTTTATCTGAAAAACAGTACCTGAATACTGATTACCATACTGGTATTTAATTTATTGGCTATTTAATAAAAATTTGTATATCTTAATCTTAGTGTGAAGAATTTGGTAAGAAACTGACTTTAGGATTATGAAGTGCCAGTGGAAATTACAATACACAGATACTAAGTCAAATATTTTAAACAAGTAAGATTTACCTTAATGTCTTGCTCTGAACTTTCAGTTATAGCTTTGTGAGCAGTGCTGGAAGGTGAATTTGCCACCTGCGGCTGAGTGTCTAGGAGTTTCTTCAGCTTCAAGTCCACCAACTTAGTATTTTGTTCTGTTAAATATGCAAATACTATGAATAACTATATGAGATGCATTTAGATGTGTAGGCTATCAATTTAAAGGACTTCATAAAAATATTACTATATTAAAAAAAGAGAACTCTTTATATATATATATGTATGTATGTATACATAAACTATACTGCATATCATATAACTAGAGTATAACTAAGTAGTCTTTAGGGATATTGACTATATTCCCTTTTTAAAAATTGAGACATAATTGATATGTAACCTTGTGTAAGTTGAAGATGTACAATGTGTTGATTTGATACATTTATATATTGCAATATGATTACCACCATAGCATTAGTTAACACTTCTATCATGTCACAAAATTATCATTTCTTTTTTGTGGTGGAAATAAATAAAATCTAGTCTCTTAGCATATATTCCGGGGTGTGTGTGTATGTGTGTGTGTGTGTGTGTGTATGATATACATGCATATATATGTACTTTTCCCCAAAATCAGTTCGCTTAAAGAATATAGTCAACATGCCTAAAGACTATTTAGTTATTCTATAGTTAATAGCAGCTATGCTTACCTGAAAACTTAAGCCCATATTTGATGTACATATTTATATTAGCAACTGTATAGGTTGTACATAATAAAACAAGGTATTACAAAGTAGGTATTTAAAAGAGGTAACACATTTGATTAAAAATTATATTACTTTATTGTTTCAATTCTTCTAGTATATTAAATTTAGACATATAATGCCATATTAAGTTCTTAAGATGATCTTAGACAGTCATGTACACACTATTAGAATCCAGTGTTCCAATGTTTATGGGTATACATATATACCCAGCATTGAAACAGGGTATATGTTTACAAATACCTTCTAATTAGAGGGCAGAAGTACAATAAAGATTATCACATTTTGGAATGTGTGAAATATGGATAGAAATTTAAAATAAATACAAAATAGCTATAACTTTAAAAATAAACAATTTCAAATTATTTTTAGCAAGTAAATTAATCTTTATTTAATAAAATAGCTCAGAAGCGAATGGAAACAAATAATTCTATTTAAACAAATTCACTCAAAGCAACTCTTTAATAAAATGATTATAAAAGACATGCCAACCATTTGATGAATGATATTTTTCATAAAGATTAATAAGTTTTCTAATTATAAGACTCTTAATAAATGCTATTATCATTACTTTCATGCAAATTGGTCAGTTTATATTGCCAGGCTTCTCTTTTAAACAATATCTGATGAACTATGGTCAAATCAAGATAAAGATTAAACAACTTATTATTAAAAAATTATGACTTTTATATACATATTAAAAAAAGAATTTTGGGGAAAATAAAGCCAGGATAAAAAACCATAATGTATGCTACATGCTTCCAGATTCCAGTTTGCATTCCTATTTCTTACTGCCATGAAATAAGCCATAGTCTGAATTGGAAAGTCTGTCCTATGCACTCGCCAACACTTATTGGCATGCTGGAGAGTTGTAAACAATATATTACTTAACTCCAAAAACAGGAGGACTGAGATGTGTTTTCTTTTTAGGTATACAAAAAGTAGGAAGAGTGTTTTTAAGAAGGACAAGAATCAAGCCTAATGTTAGGCCTAATATTAACCAACCTTTAAATACATTAAAATACCCCACAAAGTTGCTATAACTAAAACTAGAAAATTCTCTTTACCTTACCCAAGAAAGGGCTAATTTCTCCTGTCTTCTTAATCTACTGTTAAATCAGGAAATATGTGCCACTTATTGTCACTGATTTTATACTTCCATGAATCAAATGTTAAGGCTTTAATTCTGTACTTCTGGATGCCCTCCGTGGTAAAGAGATGATACTGGTTTCTACTAAAGACTTTGATGGTGCTTGTGGTGAGAGGGTGGGTAAGCAACAACAAAAATTTTTTTCAAAAAGAAAAATCAAACTTACCCAAGTTCTAAAGTATTTTAAATAGAAATAAGTAAAACGCAGTTTTAATTTGGGGTTAATTTTTTTTTAAGTTTCCTTAAATATCAGCATTCTCCTGGACTTGTACAATTATAAATATACTGACCTGTATCTAGTAAAAGTATTATTTAATACTAGACCATGAAGGAGCTACTGACAAAAGACACAGATTTTTTTGGGTGCTCTCTATAGTTAGGAAGACCATGTTTGATTGTTTCTTGGAGAAGTAACAGCATGATTTCAAATAGGGAAGAAACAAAGCAAGTTAGCATTGTAGGGACATGCCAGGGCTGGGAAGAATACCTGCTCTCCCTCCCTGTAGCTTTTTACAGGAAAAGATAAATATTAGGGATTTCACTTTCTTACCTTTAAGTTTAAAAAGATTGCCAAAGACTTTTTATTGCTATAAGAATTCAATTCAGTAAGTATTTATGGAACCTCTCACATATACAAAGCTACCTGCTGCTGACTTATAAAGGTAGTGCATATGGAACACTCATCTACTTAACCATCAGCAAGTATCTTTATATTTTATACAATAACTCAGAAGTTCAATTGCAAATGTGATCATCGGTATAATATTTATTGATATACAATATGAGATGAATTTAATAGTAATCTATATAAGCAGTTTTCAAAGAGTATTATTGTGATTAGTTAAGTATGTATAAAATAATTTATTAGTAGTAATATTTAAATATTTAAGGTAAGCACAAAATTTATAAAATAATATTACCACTAAGACTATCAATTCCAAACGAAATCAGAAAATCTGATCCATGGTTTAGATTTACATTTGAAGCATTCCATAGGTACTACATCTATACCTTACAACATCACAACAAAATATTTAGGCTGAGAAGGGAACCAATCATAAAATGTCTACAAATTGTCCCATATAACATAAAATATAAAAGTGAATCTTAGTAATAAGAGAAAAACTAAAATTTGCTATTTCAATTTTATTGCTAATTTTAACATTAAGCCTAAAACAAAATAATAACATAAAATTGATGGAAAGTGGATTTAGCTAAATGATTTGTGAGGGCGTAAGATGTAATAAAACTACTAAAAGAACTTATTATCATTATTAATGAGATAATAATAAAAATATAACAGTTTTAATAGTTAATAAACAGTTATAATAAAAATATAAGAGTTTGCCATGCAGCAGGACACAAAGTATTTATAATCTGAAATTACCGGGAGTATCAAGGTCATTTTCTAAGTTAGTAAGTTCATCTCCACCTCCTACAACAAAGCCTTCGGAAATCTCCTCATTAGTATCTATCTCAACTTTATCATTTTCATCTGTAGGAAAATGTAGCAATAATGTTAGTATATTATTTCTATTTTATATCATTTGTTAGAAACACTAAGGAAAAACATTAGTATTGTAATGACAGTTCAAATTCAGGTCTGACACAGATGAGCAAGTTAAGAAATCAGTTTTAAGCTACTTTTTCACTATCGGATTAACATTTATATTTTACATTCATATGTCAAAGATGAATTGTCACACCAAAGCAGATGCAAAAATTTTGACAATTTGTCACATGCTGTCTCTGAATCACTGAGCTCCTGGAATCCCTATGTTTAAAAATGTAATCTACTGGTAATCTCTAATAACAGTATACAAAAATAAAGTTGGGGGACTTCCCTGGTGGCACAGTGGCTAAGAATCCTCCTGCCAATGCAGAGGACACGGGTTCAAGCTCTGGTCCGGGAAGATCCCACATGCCGTGGAGCAACTAAGCCTGTGCGCCACAACTACTGAGCCTGCGCTCTAGAGCCCACAAGCCACAACTACTGAGCCTGCGTGCCACAACTACTGAAGCCCGCACACCTAGAGCCCATGCTCAGCAACAAGAGAAGCCACCACAATGAGAAGCCCGCGCACTGCAACGAAGAGTAGCCCCCGCTCGCTGCAGCTGGAGAAAGCACGCACACAGCAATGAAGACCCAACACAGCCAAAAACAAACAAATAAAAATATTAAAAAAAAAAAGTTGGTTTGGTAACAAAGTCATCAAATAACGTTTCTAAATTTCACATTTTTATCACTTATTAGATATAAATGTATAAAGAAACAACTCATTCTTTATAAACTTGTAGCTTTATTTAAATCATTTGCATGAAGACTTGAACGCTTTTGTGCTATTAGTGAAATATTATCAAAAGCATTATGGATGAATTAAGAGACAAGATTGAGACAAGAATAGACAGTACCTTTATGCAAAAGAAAGTTCAGAAACAATTAAGACAGTACATCTTGGAAGACATAAAGCTGGTAGAAAGACTTGTTATTCAAAATTAAATACATGGGAATAAGGTAATCACACTATTTTTTTATACACTTAGTAAAACGTCTTAGGTCATAATTAATTAATGGTATCATTTTTAAAAAGATTTCTATTACATATTTTTCCGTTTTAAACCCTAGTTATAAAATTGGTTAAGTAATTTTGAATATTATACATTTAAAAAGTCATAGCAATAATTTGACTTGTATATTAGAAGTTAAGCTTTAAATTCTGCTATTGACAGGCAATGTACCTTTTGAAGAAATATCTGTCTAGCCCTGGGAGTTGAAGAATATCCCTACTATTCAACAGTTTATTTTTCATAGGGCAACTTTTATTAATAATGAGGTGTTCCAAAGGTTATTACAATTGAGAAATACTAAATTCTATAGCTTTGGCTTAAACCTTCAATATTTGTCCTTTTCCCTGTAGAGCTTTGTGTTTGATTTTAGGCTTCCCAAGTAAATATTTACTATGAGCATTAATATTAATAATAGTTTACATTTATTGAAGACTTCCTATGTACCATGTAAGCCGTTTAGAACAATACAACACAGAGAAAAAGAATGAGAAATGCCCCCAGGGGAAAAGCACTGCTAAATGCTTTCAAATCGCTAAGGTATTGTACTTGGCTATATTATTTAAGTACAATCAGTTGAGAGAGCTTTTCTAATCAACTGTGCTTAGTACAACTACTTGACTAATTTCATAAAAGTCAGCACCTTCATCTTCATTATCCTCAAAAATTCTTCTCTAAATAATTTTGTAGTAAAGGGAAATGAATTAACAGATATTTCCTGAGTGCCAAGTAAGTGTTCAGAACACTTCCTCTTATCAGAGATAGTTTACTACCAATAGTTCTTAGAGTACAGTACTTTGTTGCTGCAACCAGCCTTTATTGGTTACTACTGACCAGAATTAATATAGAGTGAAAACAAAAAGTTAAACATTCATTCATTTATTTATTCAAGAAACTTCTACTATATGCCAGATCTGCAATTTACAAAACACTGCTAGATGTTGAAGAGATACCAAGTTGTATAAGACATTTATTCCACCTTAAAGTTATACATTCAAATGACTAAAATACCATGTAGGACAGTTAAGTGTTATGGGGTAAAAATAAGGTATAGAGCAAATTCAGGGAGGAAAGATTATTCTTTGCCAGTAGCACCAGGAATTATTTTTTGGAAGCAGTAACCTTTAAATTGGGTCTTCAGAAATGTACCGGATTTCAAAAAGTACAGTTGAGGGAAGGGCACTACAGGCATGAGAGCAGGAAAGGGTAGGTTATGTTCAAAGAATGGTATAGTTCTATTTTGCTCAAGCATACTTAAAGGGAAATAACGGGAGGTAAGACTTGACAGGTAAAACTGCAGAGAGCATTGAAGGGTAGGATAGGAAGTTTAGGTTTTACTTGGTAGGAACGGAGAGACATTTGTGTTCAAACATGATCATCAATGTGCTGTTTAACAGACAGCAGTCTATATAAGCAGTTTCTTACCACAGTGTTTCATGGTAATCAGTTGTGAAATATGTATAAAATAATTACTAGTAATATAAGCACTGAAGCTTATGTTTTTTTTAATATAAATTAGAGTAGCTCCAGTATTAGTCCTAAAATATCACTCTTGCTTACATTCTGATATGCCTTCATATGTGAAAGAAAAAGTGGTCCAGGGATTGCACATGGGAGTGCAATCCCTGGAGCCACATGACAGCATCCTTCATGCGAGATTGCTGAGTAAGATGTTGGACTCTAGCACACAAAGGCTGGAGGCAGGAAATCCAAGTTGGAGACTATTATAACCTCCAGGTAAGTAGTATGGAGAGCTTTAACCTATCATAAAAGAACTGGAAGTGGGTATGACTTGAAAACAAACTGGATATTGGGTGGTTGGGGGAGGGATACTGAGGAGAGGAAGAGTGAGGCAGATGACTCTCCAGACAGTGACTAGAAGGACAGCACTGCTATGAAAAGAAGCTAAGTCTGGAACTGTGGTTGGATCTTGGTACTTCAGGTCCTGGGGTTATGCAGTGGGATATTCATTACTCCTTTACACAGTGCCAGGCTCCTGTGTGATGTTAAACAGGTGCCATTCATTTTATTTCCCGGCTAAATGAAATCTCTATCTATACTACCACTCACCAGTAATGCTGAGTGGGTTAACTCACTGTTTATATATGTATTGTTAACCTTAGATAAAAGGATTACTATTTGGGAAAGGGAAAAGTAAAAATTGATCTCCCATACAGCTCAGGTTTTCTTAAGAATAGGTTTCCATCTTCTTTCCATTCACTGACTTCAGGTTTACAATGAACAGGAATTCTTTTCGATAGTTAAAATGTTACACATTTCTTAACACCTGTCAAAATACTCTAAATGCATTTTAGCAGAATTAAAGTGCATGTTTGTCTTTGTGTGTGTGTTTAAAATATTATACGTTATTTATACGATATATATAAGATTATATATATCTTTATGGCTAACCACTGAAAATCTAGTAGGTAAGCGTGGCAGAAAGTAAACTAGAGATCCAATACACAATGGAAGGTGGTTTGCAAATATGGCATGTATAATGTGTGTAGGAAAAGGTAAAAAGAGATTGTATATATACTGGAATGAGACAATGCATTCCAGCTGACACTGCATAGCACTATAAGCAAAATGGGGATCCCAATGGTATGATTAATAGCACAGCAATAAGGCCAGTCTTACAACACTTATCATTTATAAATAAATTGAATGAAAAATCAGGATATCTGGTGACAGTAAAAAAAGAATATCTGCACTTTAAAAAAAAGAAATTGAGGCTACCATTAAAAACATATTCACAGGGACTTCCCTGATGGTGCAATGGTTAAGAATCCGGCTGCCAATGCAGAGGACACGGGTTCAAGCCCTGGTCTGGGAAGATACCATATGCCGCGGAGCAACTAACCCCGTGCGCCACAACTACTGAGCCTGCGAGCCACAACTACTGAAGCCTGCGCACCTAGAGCCTGTGCTTCGCAACAAGCGAAGCCATTGCAGTGAGAAGCCCGTGCACCGCAACAATGAGTAACCCCTGCTCCCCGCAACTAGAAAAAGCCTGCGTGCAGCAATGAAGACCCAACGCAGCCAAAAATAAATAAAAAAAAAAAATATTCACACAAAATGGTGGTTTAGAGAACACAGAGATTGTACCTAAGTGTACATGAAACTGTTTCTTCCCAGGAAAAAAAAAATATTCAGAATAAAATTTCTCATTTGTATCATGATTTTAAAATTCTCATTGAAGGTTCCCTATAAAATTCATAACTTTTAAAGTTATTCTATAGAAATCAAACAAATGATAGAAAACAATACAAATATATTATTAATAGAAGCTGAAAGTAAAAATTACTGAAGGCCTGTAAGATTTTATTTTGGGCCAACAAATTTAGATAAACCTATTTGCCATAACTGAAATAAGGATAATGCAGGCACACAAACATTCTCATGGATAAAATTTTTAAATTTTCATTTATTCATTTGAAATGCAAAAACAAAGTACACTATTCCATCTAAATCAAAGAGAGGCAAAAATGTCAGTTTAAAAGTTCAATGACCCTCACCTAACCCAAACCAAAGTGATAAGCTACAGAATAAAAAAATACATATATGACATATATACACACATATATAAGTACACATAAAATATATAAAATCTATATCATATACATCCCATGTAATATATAATAAATATATGATATATTATAATATCATCTTCAAATTAGATAAACACCTTCCTTGCAAGTGCCCATGGGCCATTAATAAAAATGTAACATTTATTTGGCCAAAATAAAAACTTATTAATTCTCAAAGCAGAAATTCAGGGCATATTCTCTGACCACAATACCATACAACTAAAAATGAAAATACCACAATTCATCCACAAACAACTGTACCTTGCCATGTAAGATCAATACAATAAATGAACCCACAAGTTTGTTACCTAAAATGAGGATTTTAAAAGGAGGCTGTTATAGGTCTATAACTAAACAACAAAGCAGAAATTGAAAAAACACATGTAGTATACCACAATATCACCTGACTCTCCTCTAAGTCCTAAAATTATGTCAAGAGGAGGACAAGTAAAAGCTAGGCTGTAGCTCCTTGGACTGATTCTGTTATTTCACAAGAATTAGGCTACTTCTGGTTGAAATAGGATGCAAGTGGGATGCTTGAATACCTGGCTTTACATGACCTAAAATATCTTGCATATATTTTCTGTGGACACCTGAGGCTTATGACACCTCACCTCTAACTTACTAAGTTTTCCTTTCCTCACTGAGGATGGAAAAAAACCAGGTTTTTCAAGTAGGTTCAGGCAGTGAGTTTGAGTATCATGTTCAACACGTCCCCTAGGTTGTGCTTTCACCTGATTATTTCAGCTCTTGACTACCCCCTCTTCTTTGTCACTTTGGACCACTGCTTCCAAAAATTTTCCCACCCTAGTCTGTCTTCTAGGCTGGTCCCTATTCATTTTTCTCTCCTCCTTTCACAGTATTCCTTATTCAGACCTGATAATTCCCATTAGACATTGGAAGAATGGACACTAATTTGTTAACTGTTTCCCCCTGACTTATCAACCCCATAGGGTTATTTTCATTTAGGAATTAGACTCTTGTGAAATCAAGTGAATTTCTTATTTGCTATATAAGGGTCAGCAAACTATAGCATGGGGGCAAAAACCAGCCCACCATCATTTTGGGGTAAATAACAGGCATGCCCATTAATTTACATATTGTTCAAGCCTGCTTTCAGACTACAAGAGCAGAGTCGAGTAGTTAAGACAGAGAACACATGGTCTGCGAAGGCTATAAAAATTTATTCTGGCCCTTTCCAGGAAGTTTGCCGAATCCCGGCCTAGCACAGTGACTGGCACTGCTAAACAGATAAATGTGTATGTATGAATGGTTGAATTCTAGGCAGGAATTTTACCCTCTCCCTTGACCTAAAGGTCTCTTCCCCGCCTCCGGCCTTGATAACTTCAGCTTAGGCCTTGATGCCAGAGCGGACCTAGTCGGATCCATACACCTTTATGAAGACAGGCCAATATCCACCACTGAGGTCAAGGAATAGGCCTGCACTGCTTGTAGCTCAACCTTAGCTCTGATTAAGAGCCTATCATCTGATATGTGGCCGTTTCCAACATCCAAGGTATGGTGTGTCCTATGAGAGAAATGGACCCTGGGCACTTTGGTCTCCTTAGGGAACAGTCTAGACTCTTCAGCAGGTTCTCATAAGTCATCTGTTGAACCCTGTCCTGCCTTCATTTCACCTGGCTTTTCCTTTTCTAGTCTGTACTTCTTTGCTAGCTTCAGAGATCCAATCCTCACTTGTTCTTTATTCACTCTGTTGACTGCTGAATGATGCCAAAATCAGGTCTTCACTTTCCCCAGTTACCAAGTTGGGAAGATACCCATTTTGGGGGTTGTAACACTGACTAAGTCTCTCTACCTAGTCTAGTCCTGGCTTAGGCTCAACTGGGGTTGGATTATAGAGATAAGACCAATTACATAGCTGATTCATCCCACACCATTAATCAGAAATTTCTAATTCTTAGCCTTCCCAGAGTTCACAACTCATTTAGCATTGTCATCTGCTCACTGTTGGAAAAAAAAATTGAGACAGTGGATGCCTCTCTCTCTTATTATTACTGCTCTTCCATGGGTTTATGATATCACACGGAGGTAGTATTAGTAGCTTTAGGGCAGTCTATCTGGAGGGTCAAGAATATGAGGCTTTTTCTATCTTTCTGAGATACAAGGAGGCAAAGATTTTTAAGATTTACTTAGAATATCTGGAATTTTTATGATATCAAAGAAACATCTTGTTACTAATCATAAATGAAAGCAAATTATAATAGCGTTATATAATGTAGCTGTGAGTAGTTACTGCTCTTACTATAAAACTTTAGTAGTGAGTATAGAAACTGTAATAAAAATTCTGAATGACAGGAGTTGAAAAGGTAAGATGAAGGATTTAACTAAGAAACAAACATTCTGAGAATACCAGATGGATAGATATACAGCTACTTGGGAAAGCAGCTTTCAAATGTATGGGATGGAAGGTTATATGCTATAGGCATTGGTTGGAATGCTCTAAAACAGTAAGATTTTAATATAACGAATCAATTAGAAATAACAGCAGTAAGTTTCAGTTTACTTTGAAGAAACTTATCATTGACCTAGAAATGGTTTCCTTTGTTTCAGTTCTCTAAGGTCTTATTCGAGTCCTCACTTGCCTACTCTCCAGAGTGATCTTTTAGCATTTAAGATTAATTCAGGACAAGTACCTGGCATGTTCTGATAGATAAATAGGTCACATACCTTTGAAATAAAAAACCCCACAGGCCTCTTGAATATACTACTCAAATAAAAATGTAAAAAGTTTCAAGTTAAAGATGCCCAAATTGAGCACTGAGAGGCAAAACTAAAATTCCCTTTAATTATATGTATAGTCCTTGTCCTAAAATAAAGCTTAGAATAATTTCTACAGATATTGAAAAAGACCCTCTTCGAATCAGGAGACTAAGAAGAAATGCATATGGGACTTATTCAAAATGCTTACATGTCAGGCTATAATGCTGGAACATTGTTAAAGCTACTTTCCAAAGATCTGGTTCAAAGCGAAAATCTCTCATGCCAAAGCTCTCCACTAACAAGTCTTGTGATCTACATGTTGAGGACTTGATTGCATTTTACTCACTCCTAATACAATTAATGAGGCATCATGGGGAATCACAAACCAAGGCCTGTCTGAGTTTTCTCCTAAATCATATTCTTAGTGTTTCTTGAGTACTAATCATACTTAATCATAATCAAAGTACTTCTTGAGTTGATTTGGAAATTGGCAATAGTCATCTTCTGATTTACTATGCTTTAAGTTTTTTGTAACATACTGATAGGCTAGAAACTTTATGTATTTGATGCACAACATTTTGAAGTAAGAATAAAAAGTCCCAAAACATCCATTGCGGATTTCTGGGTTGTGTGTAGAATATGATACAAGATTCTTTAACTCACCTCCAGATGCCTTTGACCTTTCTTTCAACTTTTCTGCAGCCATTTCACCATAGCTGGGAAGTTCTGACATCTTCACTCCAGATCGAGCTTCTGCTATTAGCTGACGAGCTCTCTCTCTCAGCTGCCGACGTCGCTCTTCATCTTGCTGCTAAGATATATTGAACAGTTGCCAACTCAGTAATTGACAGAAATGCAATTTCATTTTCAATCTGATCATCATGATAGTAACTGGTTTACAGCATGGTGCTTGGCCCACATTATAAATAGGATGCTCTATATCAGTTGGATGTCATACCATTTTTAAAAGACATCCAAGAATCAGATTTTTAAAAAACATTTACAAATTATTGTATTATGTCTGTTAAAGATTCAAACTAGCCTTTAAAGAATGTTTGGCAATATAATTACTGAGAAAAGAGCAGGATCTACTATTAATAAAATAATCAGGCTTATAGGAAAAAAGTAACAATACTGAAAACAGAATTTCAATTAATACCTTATTTTTTTAACATTAGAATTTAACTTGCAATTTTCTAGTAAAGGCATAGAGCACTGGCTAAAAGAAATCTTTGATCAAATATAGGAAGTGGTATTTTTAGGGGGCTACAGCAGGAATGGGGATAGTACACATTAGTTCCACAGTTATTGTTGTTGATAGTTTTAAAATCAGAATTGGGTAACTGATGTACTTCTGTCCTTATTTCTACTATGCCTTCCCCCCAGACAAACATTGAGAAGAAAAAGTAAAAACTAGTGTGGTTTTTGATATTTAAAATAACTAAAAATGACAGAGAATTAAATAACTAAAATAGGTTTTGCCTCCTAAAAAAGGGCTATTATGAATTGCAAATAATCAATGTGAAATTGCTTTGTAAACTGGAAAGTATATGATATAAGGCATTATTATGACAAAACAAAGCCTGAAATAATATGGCCCCAACATATCTGTGCAGTTATCTTCCCTTAACCTCTCCCAATCTCTATAAAACCTCACATCTATTTATACAAAATTGTTTGTATCATGTAGTTTCATGCATCCATGGATTTGAATATATCATTTTGTCTTCCTGAAATGTTCTTCTATCATCTATTTAACTCCTACTCATTCTTCAAGATTCAGTTTAAATCCACTAAACTTCCCCTGACTACTCTTCCCTCCTCCCCACTGGTGGAATGAAGTTCTCCTTCTTCTATGTTACTATAGTACCGTGTGCGCACATGCGCACGCGCGTGTGTGTGTGTGTGTGTGAGATTACTTTTTAAAATAATACCTGTCAAGTTATAATTCTGTACAAACATCTCCTTCTCAGTAGAACTGAGCTACTTGAATGCAGGAGCTAGATGTGATTTATCTTTGTATCTTTGGTCCTTAGTACATACCTTGGTACTTGGTATTAGATATGAAAACTTAACGATTTATACTTTCAAAGCTTATATTATAGAGGGAAAGATAAAACAGCCACAATAAGGAGGTGCAATAAAAACAGATGAAGAGTTCAGAAGAAAGAGGTTTGTTTTTGTGTCTTTTTTTTTCTTCTTCTTTTTTTTTTTTTTTTTTTTTTGTCAAGGGGAATGATCAACCTGAGTTGTATCTGAGAAAGATTAAAGATTAATCTGACAACAGTGTATACGATAGGCTGGCCTATGGGGACTGGAAAGAGACTACTTAGGAGGCTCTTATAAACAGTACAAGGAAGCTATAATGAGATTCAGAACTGGGATGGTGGCAATGGGAATGGAAGGAGACAGGTGTAAGAAATACATCAGAGCTAGAATTGGTACCTGTACCAATTCTTAGTAACTGATTAGATGTAGAGGGAAGAAAAAAGCTGAGTCAGAAGAGACAGGGGTAAGACACTAGCTTGGTAGAGTTCAAGGCTAGGCAATTCTTTCACAAATTTTGAGATGGCTAGAATAGAGAGCTGTCAAAATTAATGCGGGTAGATTAACAGAGGTATTGAATGGACCCAGAGACAAGCTTGAAGCTCCCAGTGGACAAACTGAAGCAATTTCAGTACCAAAACAAACAAGCAAACAATGACTGCAATGAATTGAATCAACAAAATCACACACTGAATCAATGAAAACTCATCAATTCATTATGATATTCAGAAAGTTCTTAGAAGGATATATAAACTCATTTGAGGTAGCTTTTTTTTTTTTTTTTGCGGTACGTGGGCCTCTCACTGTCGTGGCCTCTCCCGTTATGGAGCACAGGCTCCGGACGCGCAGGCTCAGCGGCCATGCCGCTCCGCAGCATGTGGGATCTTCCCGGACCGGGGCACGAACCCGTGTGCCCTGCATCAGCAGGCGGACTCTCAACCACTGCGCCACCAGGGAAGCCCTAAT